AATTGCCCACACCTGGGTTAGGGGCAACATTTCAAGTCCCAAGGCAGCAACTAGGGGGCAGGGCCCTTGTCAAAGGGTGGAGCTACCCTTGCAGCCCTCAACAACTCAGCAAAACTCATTAAGCAATCCTCCGGTGGAAATAATTGCCCACCCCTGTCTTAGAATAGTTTTTTTAACTTCCGTTTTTATGCTGGAACTATATGACAGAATTCTTATTTGATTTGTAATGAGTTTGCAATTGACTTTCTAGACAGACAGTTTATTTTTTTCATAAGTTTAATCCTTTCCTCCACAAAATTTTATAGGGTTGAAAACAGATCAGTTAATTTTTAATTGATCTAGTAAACCATAACATACATAAAGATTTAACAAAAATTCTCCACTTTCCATTGTGATGAGTGGCACATACTCAAATCACACCTCTGTGCAATGACCCTTTATAATGTTACAGGGCTGACAACCCAAGAACATTTGTTTACTGACCCAAACATTTTACTGACATATGTTTTTACTGACATGCATTTTACATAATGTAAATGTAAGCATTTTGCTGGGCTCTAGATGGTAGTGACCAGGACAGGGTTCCAATTTAGTTGGTTAACCCCAATCATAGTTAAAAAAAAAAAAAAGGCTTGGCTGTTAATAAAAAATTTGCAGATTGTCACTAAAAAAGTGCCTTGGTTGGCAACCCTGCTTAACTGCAGCAATAGTTTTACACCATGCAGCCACAACCCCAGGGGTCCCCCCTCAGCCACCTCTGACCTCACCCATCATAGAACTGCCCCCCCAGCCCCCCCCCAGTCTTACCCCAGCTGGCCTCACTCCTCCGATCCCAGCATGGACCTCCACCTGCTAGCTTTCCCACTCCTGGCCTATAGCTCTGTCCCAGTCAAACTGCCTCCCTTTCTATACAGAGCATCTGTTAGAGGAAGGGAAATGCCTAAGGAATGCAGTAGCAGCAGATGACTCCTGTGAGATACAGAACCCTAATAAGAGCTCCCTGCAGGGTGCCATGATCCCATTCAGACACCAAGAGTTGCTGCTGTACTCCATCTGTTTATCAAGCTTAGTTTTTTATGGACACCTCCAAGTTTTTTGATTATTGAAAAAGATAAAGGACAGAGACCCTGGAACATAGGTAAAAGAACATTTTTCACAGGGAAAAAACCCTCCATATCCAATCTCACAGTTCTCATGCTCAAAAGAAACCTACCAAGCACCTTTGAAAAAAGAGCATGGGAACATAAATTCGTAAGCCTATTGGACATAGAAAACCAGGGATTTAACACAGACAAATACTTCATGGTCACTCTGCTTGATACTTGCTAATCTCTGCACTTCACAGGTGAAAAAGACACTGATGAACAATCTTGTTTTTCCATTAACGGATTTTTACTGCATCTGTTCTGTCAGTTGGTTATCTGATAATTCTCCTTGTATCTTTTTTTTATTTATGAGGGGAGGTTGAGAGATCTGGATCTCTTCAGGCTTTACCAAAGACAGCTGAAGGGTGACCTTGTAGCCGCCTATAAGTTTATCAGGGGAGGACAGCAGGGAATTGGGGATGCGCTGTTTACTAGGGAGTAACTACGAATAATGGGTGCAAACTAGTGAAGAGTAGATTTAGGTTAGATATTAGGAAGAAATTTTTTTACAGTAAGGGTGGCCAGAGTCTGGAATGGGCTTTCAAGAGAGGTGGTGCTATCACCTAACTTGGAGGTCTTCAAGAGGAGACTTGACAAGCACCTGGCTGGGGTTGTCTGACCTCGGTCCTCTTTCCTGCCAGGGGCAGGGGGTTCGACATGAAGATACATTGGGTTCCTTCTGACTCTATAATCTATGAATCTATTAATTTACATAGAGTTTTATACAAGCTTTTTGTTCCATCTGCTACTTAGCACTGCTGTGTCTCTTCTCTCCCAGAGGCCTGAGGAAAAGTTAGGCTTGCTTATGTCTAACCCAATCATGCTGTTGGTCCAATTAAACATATCACCCACAAGAATTCTTGCCTCTCACTTTAATCAATTTTATGTGTTGATGTAATTTAATCATGGATAGATTGATGAAAATGTGAATTAAATTTTGAAACTAATCCTATAAAGTAAAAATCAAGATACACAAATTTTAAACACAGTCAAATGTTATAACATTTTGAGTAATGAAATATTAAGGGGAATAAAACTTTAGTTCTAACAAGAGTAAGGATATGATAGCTGAGAGTCCCTAAATAAATCCTAAAAAGAACAAGTCCGGTTATAAGTCCCTTTGCAGTTTGGTCCATTTCTGTTGTGGGAGAGGGAAGAGAACTAGCTAAGACCCAGTTGCCATCTGTGGACAGTGGGTGCATCTGTGCACATTCAATTGTTCCCTTCCTCCTCTGCAAGATTCCACTGCAAACTCATTAGAATTCAAATAGCTGCTCTATACCTTGTGAGAAAAAACACAACAAAGAGGGCAAGGGTACTGCTAGGTCACTTAGAAGTACAGCTGGTTTGGAATATACCTGACAGAACAGCCTTTTTTGTCATAATTTACCAATTCACCAAAATTAAAGTTTTCTGCAGATACAGCTTGAGGTTAATGAAACTGTTCTGGAACCCAGCCAGGGGGCCTATGCAATCTGGTCTGCCAAGCAGCTTTCAAAACATACCTAATTTCCTGCCACTCTCTTGGTGGGCTGCTAGAGAGTTGGGATTAGAGAGTTCACCACTCCAAAGTAGCTAGCCAAGTGGACCTTATGTTGTGGACAGCAGAGGTTTTCTTTTTTTTTCTTTTTGACAGCACTAACATTTACAGGTACTGGTCCTAATTTTAAACAAAGAGACAGAGAAAAATTTAAAAACCTTCTGTGAAATGGCATTATCTTTCTCTAGGTCTTCTTAATACTCATGGGGTACATCTACATGAGCTATTAATGCAGCTCAGTAAACTCTGGTGCAGTTCGGGGCTGCTTTACCCTGGTTCAAACTGCTGCAGTTCTGGTCACTGTCCACATGTGTGTTTTTGTGTAGTAAATGACTCCGCCTTAAGACACAATGCTATTTTACGGCAAAGTTAGTTAATTTATTGTGCCCCAATATGGATGCATGCGTAGAGAGTGACATTTTACTGCAGAGTTAATTAGTCAACTCTGCAGTAAAACACATGTGTAGATGTACCCATGAGTACCGTAGTTCTGTATCTGCCTTGCTATTGTGTGGGAATACTGAAGTAGGTGACAAGCAGAAAAGATTTCCTCTCTCTACTCAACCATTTCAATTACATTTTATTCTGTTCTAGGCTCTCCTGCTCCCCAACCCTAACTCCTCTCCCCATACTGGTTTTAGAAAGGAACAGATGAAACAAAGGGAAATGCACTTAGCTGTTAAGATTCTACTTTTAACTACAGTACATGGAACACCATAAACTAGGTTAAACATTCATTATTATGAAAATAACTGAAGCTCTTAAATATCACTTAGTAAACTATCCATTGCTTTATTTAACATGTCTGCTTCCTTATGCCTGTACTCCATTATTTCAGAAGCAGCATGTGATACAGGAGTTGCTAACTCAATTATACATTTGTTTTATTAGACAAATTATTATTATGTATTTCACGACAAATAATCAGATCTTAAACTGTACCATAACTGCTGGAAGATTTGCACACCATTTTAATGGGTAATTTTTTATAGCTGAATTGACCACATCCTTGAACATATGTTTGTGTTTTTAATCTTCTGACAGTTCAGCACTTAGCTTGCAATTGCAGCAACACAAGTTTGTGCTTTAATAGACAAAATAAAATACAAAATGTGGAGTATAGTTCCTACACAAGCACTAATTCCACTCATATTGAATGAATTACGTGTTTGAAAAAAGGACTCTAGACTTCCATTTAGCTTATCTATTAATCATAAAATAGCAGAGTCTGTTTAGCCGATTCCAATATGACAGCAGAGTTCATGACCTAATCAGGTTACCTAATTATGAAAACTCAAGACTCTTACAGATCAATTTTCTTTTGATGAACATACATAGCAGCTATTGATATAATCACAGAAACCCTGGAAGCATGTGAGCCTGTAATTTGCTACATAAGCACATTCAAAGGTTTTCAGTTGTCCACACTTGCTAAATGCAACAGTGAGAATTTCTAAATAAAATATTTTATATTTTTTTCCTCAAGAGATATCGATATTTTAGGAATAGTCTTCACATCGTTAGCTTTAGTCATGATTTATGCAGAGTAGTAGCTGATTATCAATGCAAGTTTTCAGCTCCTTAACTTCACTTTCTTAAAATGTAACTGATTTCAACCTGATGCTCATAGTTTCATGTGAAGTTTCATTTTGGATTGGACAAACTTTTTTCTAGTAGATTATAACAAATTATTAGGTTCAACTGTTATATTTAAAAACATAACATTGAAAAGACCATCCCTTTTAAATCTGAAGTTTCCACTTCTCAGGATGCTCCTTCTATTGAATTAAATAGCGTGACATATATTACTTCTTTTTAGCTTGCATCAAAGAGGGTAAAGGAAGATCTAGAAAATGCATTAACATAAAGATCTGCTTTTAACTATCCCTTCAATTTTCAGCTTTCAATACAGAAAGTGAATTGCTGACAGCACAAAGCTGCAACCCAGAACCTTTTCCTTCAGTGAGAATAAGATGTCTCTTTATAATGAGAAACGTCAGACCAAGTTTTACTCTCAGTTACACCCACTGAGTAAATGGGGAAAGAATTGGGTTACTCTTAATAAGTGGCCAGTTTACGATTCAATTTTGTTTCCTTGTCAAAGGCTTAGCACTGATAAATGCGGGGGAAAGTCATCATCAATGGCTTTAGATCTCAATATTCAATAGCTCTAACTTGGTCACAGTACAAAGACCTAATATTGAGATGCCCTAGGAAATCAGAATAGGTGTAAAGTCTGAACATTACAAGCACAAGAAATGTAAATGCTTTTGTCTATAAATCTAATAAAAGTTAGTTACTATGCTGAAACTTACTGTGTTGGCAGTGAATCCCATTAAATCCTTCTGGACATTTACAAACATATCCAATGAATGTGTCTCCTCGATATGCTTCACTAATTTCACATGTGCCACCATTATGACAGGGATTAGGAAGGCAGGGTCCTGAAAGGTAAAAATAATTTAGTCATACATGTGTTCCCATTTCCTCACTAATCTTAAAAAGGCTTTCACTCAACAATGACACTCCTCCAGAGAGACAGATCTCACATTTGAAAGAGCCACCTGGATACCATGTGAAGAACTGCTGCAGCACAGAAGAAAAACCCTGACAAATCGCACACCACTGGTTATGACATATCACTCCTCCCTTGAACCCATACGGAAAATCCTCAAACAACTGCAACCCATACTAGAAGGAGACCCTATTCTTAAAGTGATCTTCCCAGAATCACCCATCTTAGCCTTCAAACAAGCACCGAACCTCGCTAACCTCATCACCAGAAGCAAATTTCCTCAGTCCCAGAACACACTGAATGGATCTAGACTACACCATGACAAGAAATGCAAAACCTGCCAGCACCCCCACAATTACTAAACCTCCCAACAGAGCCATCAGCATTCCTGGATCTCACAGCTGCACCTCCAGAAATGTAACATATCTCATCCAATGCACCAAATGCCCAGATGGAAAATACGTAGCAGAGACCAAACAACAACTGCGCACCAGAATGAACGCACACCAGAAATCTATTAAAGACAGGAATACCCAGTTACCTGTGGGGGCACATTTCTCACAAGAAAACCACTCTCTCTCCAATCTCTCAGTTCTAATCCTCAAAGGTAACTTACAAAACACTTCTCAGAGATGAGTCTATGAACTTCACTTCATCAACCACCTGGATACAAAAAATCATGGATTAAATATAGACATTGGATTTATGACACATTATAACCTGCCTGACATCTGAATTCCCAGGAACCTCTCCACTATTTACCTGCTACATTCATCACTTTTCTCTCTTCCACTACCTGTACCCCCAGCCTGTCTGCCACCCACTGACTCCTCAATTTACACACACCAACTGCAGAGGCTTACTCAGCTTGATGAAGGGTTTTTAAACCTGAAAGCTTGCTAGGGATTTCTTTTTTCCACCTATTTAAGATGGTCTAATAAAAGATATCAGATTCACCCAAAGAATCTTGTCATTAAAAAGTACATATTTTTACCACTGACTTGGTAATATTTACCTTTTACTTCATATAAATCATCTTTTATAATAAAATATTTTTATTAACAGAAACGATGAAGCATGCCACTATTTGTTAATCATAACATTTTCTTTATTCCAAGAGCCTGATCTTGCTTTTATTGAGGACAAAATTTTATCTTTTATGCAAACAAATATGTATATAGCATTCAGTCATTTGCACACACTATTCAGGCTTTCAGACCAATGATCTCATCAGATACGCAGGGAGATCTGTCTGCTGTCTTTCTGCACAGTCCCTCTGTAGGGAGATAGCAGTTTAAAGAGCTTTCTGGTACGGATCAGTTTCACTGCGATGGTACAGGCCAACAGATAGTTCAGCTGAAACAGGACAGAATCCTAGTTCACTTTAAGCACCTAAGGGTGTGACAGTCTGTGATTCCCCCTTGAGTGCTGAAGTGTCCACACGTATACTGAGCTTGCTTAGCAGGGGTGCACTCTGGGAGGGGAGTTATACAGTGCCATACACTCAGCCAGATGTGTGTGTAGCGCCAGGTAAGTTCTGAAATTAAGGCTGGTCAAAAACCTACAACTAGTACATGTTAGATGCCAGAGGAGTAAGAATCTCCACAGTTTTTTTAGCCCAACAGCCTAGTGGTTGGGGCAGAAGAGCTTCATCACCAAGAACTTGTATCTCCTTCCCACCACAGTACTTTATCAGGCCATAATGTACTGTAGGCATTACCCAGGCACCTCTCCAGCCCTCCTCCTGAAGTTGATTCCTTGGGTAGACGAAAGAGGGAAGTATGTGAGGCCAGATGGTGTGGAGCTTCGTGAGACTGATGCTACCCTAGATGAGAAAGGAACTTGCCTTCTAGCTGGGGACATTGCTCCCAATGGGGCAAAAACTTCTACAGTATTTTGCATCCAAGGGGAGGGCTGGAGAAAGGTCAGAATAATTCTTACCTGGTGGTAAAACACTATACAGGTTCAAACTCCTATAAGTCATGTGGTCCTAAACCCTGGGTAAGTTCCCAAATCAATAGGCTTCTGGACTCATAAACATGGTAACAGCCCTCCTAGAACACTGCTGTGCTTGTAAAAGGTACATGCGAGGCAACTCTGTTTTATTCTCTGAAAATAAAATTGTGGATGTGTAAAATTGCCACAAGCAACAGTTACGTGGATGCATATATGCTATTTGGTCACATAAAATGAAACAGGATTCTGACTTAACTTTTCCTAGGGAGCATCTTTTTAATGTGTCCATTTCAATTACATTATTGCGTATAATGGGTGATTTAATAAGGCTCTGTAAATGAAGTACATGCTATTTTTATAATGTTTGTACCTGTCTTCAAATATCTAGCCCACACTGAATCCAAGTGAAAGGCTACATCTTTTATCTGCTTTAACTGCTTTTACCATCCCTTCCTCAATTATACTGAAGTATCAACACATCTCCTACAAAAAAGAATAAACCCTGGTATTTGATTATTTTTTCAGTTTCACTTTACAAATTGTTAGTCAGTGATCTGAATGTTCAAAACCTGATTATATGCATGAAAAGATCTGTGCACTCTACAGAACTACTTTATTTACAATCTTTACTCAGAAAACTTAATTTTCATTTGTTAAAATGCAGAACTTAAAATCTCATTTTGAGATAAAAAAGAAAAAAATATACAGCATAACTTACTAACAAACAACTTACTGGATTTCAACTGGAAATTCTATGGTTGACATTTAAAAAAAAAATTAATATTTGAAGGGTCTGCATATTAGTTTTGCATTTCCAGTTTCTATAAGTAGGTTTGACAGATATTCACAATAACAGCATTTATTCAGAATGTCAGATTAGTATGAATTGCAGTCTTGGAGCAAATACTAATTTCCAAAAGATACAAATTAACAAAATAACATGTCAAAAAATGTTCAGCAGATATAATAGCCCAGATTATTTGAAAGACTGTGGGTGTATACATTTCTATTACATTTTATACAATTTCTCTATCTCAAAGCCCAGTCCTGCAAACACTTATGTATGGGCTAATTATTAAACATGTGATTAGTCCCATTAAAATCAATACATAAACTGAAAGCAGGGCTATTGCAGCAACTTGTTCCAGACTGCAACTGAAACACTAGCAATTCAGAAACCTCTAAAGACCTTAGGAAGGAGAATTTGGCTTGCTAACATTTTTTCACATTTTCAATTCATAGATATCAACACACATCTTTTTTTATAAGGAGTTATTAGATTATACTTAGTTATAATCCCTTAGAGCATCCATTCTTTCTTTTAAAAGGGCATGGTCTCTTTGCCCTTCATTGAGATACCTCAAGTTCAGTCCTTTCAGAAATAATTATTTGACCTTTCTATTATATGTCAAATGTGAGATCCATATTTTCAATCTGAGGTCATTCTGGTAATATCTGCAGGTAGCCCATATGTTAATTGTTTCAGTCCAAACGAATCTTTTCTCTTCCAAACACAATAAATCCACTAAAATTACCTTCTCAAGTTACTTACTGTTTTGTCCATATGACTTGTTGAACTACACATTCAGTTCGTTTTTGGTGACCCCGTGTCAGTTTGTGTGTTTACTCAGATCAGTTCAAAGCACGAAGATGACAGCAAATCTTTAAGTTAAACCCTTTCACTAAAGCTTTTCTTTGACTGGGCATTGACTTCCCATAAAACATTTTGCACAAGGAGAATATCAACAGGGGACTTTTAGAGAACAAATTATAAAAAAGATTTAGGGTAAAATTCCCTGCATCACTACTCCACATAGGAGATTTTTGGCTGGAGCTCTTTTATCAGAGAGTTTCTTGGAGGAAGTAAAAAGAAAACTTCACAAGTGAGATCTACTGTGGGGAACAATGGGTGCATCTACACACGATGCTTTACTGCGTAGTAGTGTAGTTTACTATGTAGTAACTGTGCATCTACCTGTCCCCATCACTGTCTCAAACACTGTCTCTGCCCTGGCAGCAGGCAGCTCCCCCACTCCCCCCAAGGTAGGGTGCAATATCCCAGCCCCAGACAGGAGACAACTTTCTCCTGGCCTGGTGCCCCATGCCAGCCCCTGGACTAGCATCCAGGGGGAGCCTAGAGCTCCTCCTGGTAGTAGAGAGGCCCATTGCAGGGCCTCAGGAAGTGAGAGCAGTTTGCTGCCATTAGCAGCAAATCTGCTCTTGCTTCCCTGAATATGTGGATGCCTGCCCCAGAGCGTTTACTTCCAAGTAGTTTACTTGCAACTAAAATGCTTCCAGATCTAATACACATGTAGACATACTGAATGTTAAATATATTTTTATCCATCTTTCTTTTTCTTTTATTGTGGACTTCCCAACCAAAAACCACATTGGTAGTCTAAGTGGCTAACTCAGTGTGGTGGTTGCACTTAGGATGTCTCCTTTTACCACTCTATTGTCATCCAACAAAGTAGGTACCCCGACTTTCCCTCCTGCCATGTCTTGGATATTATTATTTTATGCTTGAATTTTTGATGTCACTAGTTGGCAGAGTTGTTCAAAAAGAATTTTTTTGTTATTTTTTTGTCAGGTCTCTATTAGGGATTCATGGGTAGTATCAGTAAATTATCTCACTCACTTCTCTGTATATTCACACACACTCGACAGTATAGATAATCATAGTCTGATTCAGATCAAAACTTGTATTTATTTTTATCTTTTATCACACTGCACACATTCCTTTACTTTCCAACAGAAACTTTTTTTGTGAGTGTGTGTGTCTGATGCCTCGAGTCCTTTCAATGGGTACTCAGATGCTGTCTCCAAGGCTGAATAATAATGTGTCAATTTAACTTTTTTCATTTCCTTTGCTTTCTTTCCAGGCCAGCAGTGCAACATGTGTCCCTCAGGATTTATCCCTTCCCGGATCCACCCCTTGTCCTTGGAGCGCCATTCTTCTTCCTGACACTGTGA